GGTCATGGTCCTGGGGTCCTGGGATCAAGCCCCGCATCAGGCTCCTTGTGAGGAGCCTATTTTTCCCTCTGCCTATGTCTCTGCCTTTCTTTCTCTCTTATGAATAAATAAAATTAAATCTTCCAAAATAAAATCAAAACGTATTTTTATAGTTAAACCCCCACTTTCCCTTTCTAAGTAGTTTTTCAGATCATTTTCAAACTAACCATAAAAAAAACCCTCTTCTCCCAACAAAAGGAAAGCTTTTTATAGCACGACATTCAGTCATCTCCTGGGATCCTAAGATGTGCCCCAGACATTGAGTGTGTAACTAGAAAGGGCAACTCTAATGTTAGTCTTAATTGGGAGTGCAAAACTGCCAGTGAATAAAAATTCATACATTTTGAAGTATTCATTGTTCTTTTACACTTCTTTCAGGGTCTCCTGGAGATGCGTATAGAGATTTAGAAAGATTTAAGGAACCCATTCTAGAATAAATTCCTCCAAAAAGCCCTAATTATGAGATCATGCAAGGAATCTGATCACAACACTTAGAAGACTAAAGTTTAAGGGAGGGCCACTCAGGTCAGTTGCTTCTTCTCATGGAAGGAACTGATTTCTGTTCCTTTTAAGATAATTGAGAATAAATTGAGAGCTTAAGAACTGTTTTTCAAACTATTAACAATAAAGGAGCTTCAAAAATATAATTATCTACACAAATATTCATAACAGCACTCTTCATACCTAAAAAGGGCAAACAAGCTAAATGTCTCCCAACTGATAGACAAACAAAATGTGGTTTATTAGCAATAAGGGGAATGAAGTACTGATACATGCTAGGACATGAACTTTAAAAACTTTATGCTTGGGCGCCTGGGTGGCTCAGTCAGTTAAGTGTCTGCCTTCAGCTCAGGTTATGATCTCAGGGTCCTGGCATTGAGCCCCATGTCAGGCTCCCTGCTCAGCAGGGGGTCCGCTTCTCCCTCTCCAGGTGTGCACTCTCCCTCAAAAAAGAAATCAAATCTTTAAAAAAATTAAATAAAAATAAAAACTTTATGCAAAATTAAGGAAGCCACTCAATAAAAGACCACCTACTGTGACTCCATTTATGTGGACTGTCCAGAACAGGCAAATCCAGACATAGAGAGTAAATTAGTGTTTATTTGAGGTAGAAAGGGCTAATAGACCATTTCTTTGTAGGATGTTGAAATGACCTACAATTATACTGATGGTTGCACAACTCTGCAAATATACTGAAAAATCACTGAACTAGGAACTTAAATGGATAACGTCACCAAGATGCCAACACACAGGCTGTTCCTGACTTTGCTTCCTCTCAGAAGAACAATTAGCAAGGATTCAAGAACAAGATGCCATGGAGAGAATCCTAGAACACAGGGGTGAGGCTGAAGCACATCTCCCCTCTACCCCACACACCAGAGACCAAGACAGGCTGCATTAGAAGAGTAAGAGCGGCTACAAGTTGAACAGACTGCCGATCCCCCAGGACCAGTGCGGTACCACACCAAGAGGCCTCTCCTGAGCCTCTGGTTCTCCCAGAAGGAAGAGAACCCAATGGTAAGAACCAGCCACCCCAGTGTTGTGGGTCACTTTGCAGGAGCCTGCATTCTGATCTTGTACTACAGGGATTGCAGGGGAATCTGCAGGGCTCAGCCACTGGGAATCTGATTGTGACAGAAGGGCCAAGGGGCTTGCCACACACAGGCACACAGATCTTGGCAGACTGAGCACAAACCTGAAGCACCCTCATAGTCATCCCAAGCAGCAGCACGGCTCACCTGCAGAGCCACATTGCAGATGTGCTCTAAGGACTGAGCAGGGTGTACACTGGCCTGATTTAGGGCCTCACACAAGAAATTTCACCAGCCTGAGAGCCTGGCTTGCCCACATTCAGGTAAGGAGTTGAATCACAGTCACACCCACTGGGGAGCATGTCTTCCAGTTCCATCTGACCAGAAAGGGCTGGCCGCAACCAACCCCTGCAAGCTGTGGGGCCCAGCAGCACTTGAAGTGAGAGGCAGGTGGGCAGAGCTAATTGCCTTCAGAAACAAGTCAGTGCTGGGAATGGAGCATTACTATGCTATACCCAGGCAGGGCAGATTAGTTCAGAGCCAAGTCTGAGGATCACTCCCTGCCCTTCCCAAATGACGCCTTGACTTGTATCTTGATAATTTTTTTTTTTGATATGACACCTAAAGCTCAAGCAACAAAATAATAATTAAAAAAATCAAGCTAAAAAGCTTCTGCACAGCAAAAGAAACTGTCAACAAAGTGAAAAGACAACCTACTACTGGATGGGAAAAAATATTTGATGAAGGGTTAATGTCCAAAATATATAAGGAACTCCTACAACTCAACTGCAAAAAAACAACCCAACTCAAAAATGTGTAAAAGACCTAAATAGACACCTCTCCAAAAAAGACATACAGATGACCAACACGTACATGAAAAGATGCTCAATCACTAATCATCAGGAAAATGCAAATTAAAACCACAATGAAGTATCACCTCACATCTCTAAGAATGGCCATCATCAAAAAGACAAGAGGGAGGTGTCTGGGTGGCCCAGTTAAGGGTCTGATTCTTGGTTTTGGCTCAGGTCATGATCTTAGGGTCCTGAGATGGGAGCCCCACATCAGGATCTGTGCTCAGCAGGGAGTCTGCTTCCCCTCTGCGGCCACCTCCCCCACTCATGCACTCTCTCCCTCTAAAATAAATAGATGAATCTTTAAAAAAAAAAAAAAAAGTACTGGCGAGGATGTGGAGAAAAGGGAGCCCTTATGCACTTCTGGTGAGATTGTAAACTGGTACAGCCACTGTAGAAAACACTATGGAAGTTCCTCACAAAATTAAAAATACAACTACCCTATGATCCAGCAATTCCACTCTGGGAATATATCCAAGAAAGGCAAAGACACTAACTTGAAAAGACATTTGCACCCTCATATTCACAGCAGCATTATCGATAAGAGCCAGGACATGCAAATAATCTAAGTGTCCACTGATGGACAAATGAATAAAGAAATGATGGTGTATATATATCCACAATGGAATATTATTAAGCCATGAAAAGATGAGGAATCCTACCATTTGCAACAACATGGATGGACTCCAAAGGTGTTATGCTGAGTGAAATAAGTCAGACCAAGAGAGACAAATACTGTAGGATCCCACATGTGGTGGGGAAAAAGCCCCAGAAAATCCAACCTCAAAGAAAAAATAATCAGTCTGAGAATTGTGGTTATCAGAAGTGGAAGATGGGGGAGGGGGAATTGGAGTAAAGTGGTCAAAAGGTTCAAAGTTTCAGTGATAAGATGTGTAAGTACCAGAGACGTCATGTCCAGCATGATGACTCCAGTTACCACTGCTGGATGATCCATAGCACAGCTGTGAAGAGTCAAAATCTTAAGAGTTCTCATCACAAAGAAAACCTGTTTTTCCTTTTATTCTTTTTCTTTTATATTGTATCTCTAAGAGATGATGGATATCAGCTGAACCTACTGTGGCAATCATTTCACAACCAAACCATCATGAAATATACCTTGAACTTTTGCAGTGATGTGCATCAATGATTTCTCAGTAAAACTGGGGGAAAAAACCCCAAACAAAACTTTGAGTGAATTTAACAGAATATATCTAAGTTTAAAAAAAAAATCTCATTACTGTTTGGTTTTAGAAAATAATATACACTAATATAATATGCTTTCTCCCTTTAAGAGAAAAAACTATATAAACTATTAAATCATTCAATTATTAGAAGTTCTTCAGTTAAAAGTTATATTAATTTTTTACTTTTTTAAAAGATTTTATTTATTCATGAGACACACAGAGAGGCAGAGACATAGGCGGAGGGAGAAGCAGGCTCCATGCAGGGACCCCAATGTGCAACTTGATCCCGGGACCACAGGATCACACCCTGAGCCAAACGTAGATACTCAACCACTGAGCCACCCAGGTATCCACCCCACCCCACCCCACCCCCCATAGCTTTTTTAAGTAGGCCTGGCACAGAGCACAATATGGGGTATGAACTCACAACACTGAGATCAAGATTTAGACGCTTAACTGACTGTGCCACAAGGCACCCCAAAAATTAAATAGATTTTATTTTATTTTTTTTAAATAAATTTTTATTTATTTATGATAGTCACACACAGAGAGAGAGAGAGAGGCAGAGAGAGGCAGAGACACAGGCAGAGGGAGAAGCAGGCTCCATGCACCGGGAGCCCGACGTGGGATTCGATCCCGGGTCTTCAGGATCGCGCCCTGGGCCAAAGGCAGGCGCCAAACTGCTGCGCCACTCAGGGATCCCCTAAATAGATTTTAAATCCAGTTATGTCTCCAAAAAAACAGTTCATGTTTCTATGCCACAGTTGAAAATTCCAAATAACCATATCATTAAGCACATAAACAGAAATGCCTTAGTCCATGACAGCTTTGTCCAATAAGCCCATGATTAATCTGTGCAGTTTTACTCTCTAGTGATTTCACAGATGTCCTGAGGCTGTTGGAAGAAGTAATCTGTGTATATTTATATAGAAATTGCTTCAGAAGGGCTTGGAGGGGGGCTATCCTAAAAGCTCAATCTAAGAATATATATTAAAAAAAAAATGTTGTCACAAGAAAAGTTCTCTTTAGAAAACAGTGTTTGGACCTGGTCCAGTGGGTTGTAGCCGAAACAGAATAACAATATGGCGCTTTGAGATTCCCATCCGCATCTATTGAGTCAATCTGAAGGTGTGGAACCCAGAAATCTGTATATTTATATAAGCTCCTCTAGGAGACTGACACAGCCAGGTAAAAGAATGACAGTCCTGGTAATCAATACTTAGTTCACGAGCAGGAAGGTAATCAAAATAAGAGGTGCTTCCCCATTACTAGTTAGATCATCTTTGATATTCTTCATTTCCTATGGATATATCTTTTTACAAAAAAGTAAATTAGAAGTGATCATTTTTGAAGAAGTGTTAAAATGTCTTGAACATTACGAACACATGGGATTATACAGCAAACATTTTTTATGTCCTGATGGGACAGTACACTCTTAAAATTAGGAGATCATCTTTGACAGTCTTTAAAATGTAATCTTTGGGCTCTAGTCAAGAGAATAATGGAGTCTTAGGAGGGATATTTAAATTAAATTTAATTAAAGACAAACATCACATATGTCTACCTTCCCCAAAATGGTCAATTCATCTGAATTAAGGAAATGGAAACTATTCTGACCAAAATCTTCATTCTGTGACGTGTGTTTGGGCAAGTTTAGGCAAACATCAAAGGTTTAGAAGTCCCACCACCAAACCTACAGCATCCTGAAAACGCAAAAGCCAACTTGACTCTCCAATCTGGCAGTTCAATGTAAGCTGCCAAACTTTCATCCAATGAGTCTTTCCCACTCCACATAATCTAGGTTCCTTGGGGTAGTTATGGTTTTCCCTTGACAGTTGACCAGGAGTTCAGGTACATGAACTCTCCCTTCTGATTCCCTCAGTTAGCTTGCGCAATTCTGGTATCAGAACCATAGAAGTTCAACATCGTTGTCACCAGCTCTGGAAGATCAAAATCGTGTTTCCACCCCCAGTCCTTCCGAGCATTGCTGTCGTCAAAGTTCATCGGCCAACTATCCGCTAGGAAAAGACATGGAAGAGAAGCTTAAGTTATTCAGGCTCTAGATTTGCAAAAAAGGTCTAGAACATTTTATATAAAGGTCTATCATACAAGGTACCAGAAAAGAGATTCACTCTTTGAAATTCCTCCTTTGAGCAGACCAGAGTGGCCATTATGCTCATACATAGCCATCCTCTTAGATTAGAAGATTCCATTTCATGTCCAGTGTCAGGCACTGTGAATTAGGACACACTATTAAAATCTCACACAAAGCTGTAGGGTAGGAATCCTCTACTCCAACTGTGCTCAGGGTTTTCAGGGAGTTTGCAATGATGTACCAACCTATGGCCTGGCGAACAGAATCCACGTTGTATGTAATCTGGAATTCTGGTATGTGCTTAAGAACCTCCTGGGTCAGGTCCTCTGGGGTGAAGCTCATGGCATTGACATTGTAGGTCCTCATGGAGAGGGACTCTGCTGGGGCCTCCATGACCTCCAGGGTGGCTCTGAGACAGTCATCAATATACATCATTGGGAGCCTCGTGCTGGGTTTCAGGTTGCACTCAAATTTGCCACTCTTTATGGCATCATGGAAGATCTGGACTGCATAGTCTGAAAGAGAATCCTGTCTGTAGGTCTTCTCACAACAAAATGATGAATGAGCCTCTTGCGTTAGGGCAGTGTTTCTTAAATGCCTTAGTCTTAGAACCTCTTTATGCTCCTCAACAACACAGAGGACCCCCAAGGTCTTACAGTGTGGGTCCTATCAATATCTACTACATCAGAATTATTTATAAAATTTTTTTTGAAGATTTTATTTATTTATTCATGAGAAACAGAGAGACAGAGAGGTAGAGACACAGGCAGAGAGGGAGAAGCAGACTCCACGCAGGGAGCCTAATGTGGGACTCAATCCCGGGTCTCCAGGATCATGCCCTGGGCCGAAGGCGGCACTAAACCGCTGAGCTACCCAGGCTGCCCTACTACGTCAGAAATTAACTGAGCATTAAAAAAATATTCCTACATCTTGGGATCCCTGGGTGGCGCAGCTGTTTGGCACCTACCTTTGGCCCAGGGAGCGATCCTGGAGACCCGGGATCGAATCCCACATCAGGCTCCCGGTGCATGGAGCCTGCTTCTCCCTCTGCCTGTGTCTCTGCCTCTCTCTCTCTCTCTCTGTGACTATCATAAAAAATAAAAAAATAAAAAAATAAAAAAAATAAAATAAAAAAATATTCCTACATCTTAAAATGATAATAAACCCAACAACATATTCATATGTATGATATTATACAAGAACATATATTCCAAACAAAAGAACATTTAGTGAAAAGAATCAAGCGTGTTTTACATTTTGACAATCTCTCCACTGCCTGGCTTAGTAGCAGACAGCTGGGGTCTCCTGTGCATTTAGGCTACTGTGCTGCCACACCTCACACAGCCTCTGAAAAACTCCACAGGGCACTCATAAGGGAGAGTGGAAAAAAGGCAAATACCATCTTAATATTGACATGAAAATAGTTTTGACTTCTTGGAGCCCTTGAAAAAGACCAAGGATCCTGAGGGATTCCCAGTGCAAACTTGGAGAAGCACTGTATTAAGGCAAAAGCTTTTTAAAAAAGTAACCCAAATGAAAATCCCCTTTAAAATCCTTTGGATTTTATCAAGGCTTAGCTTTTATAATGTTTTATTTTATTTTTAAGATTTTATTTATTTATTCATGACGGGGGGGGGGCAGAGTGAGAGGGAGAGAAGCAGGCTCCATACAGGGAGCATGACGTGGGACTCGATCCCGGGTCTCCAGGATCACACCCCGGGCCGAAGGCGGCACCAAAGCGCTGGGCCACTGGGGCTGCCCAAGGCTTAGCTTTTATATTGTATCTCAGGACCCCTCATATGGGGAGGATTTTTAATATGGGAGTTACCGAACATAACGCATGCTTGAGTCTAAACTCATAATAGTAATAATACCTACGCTCCTTTTAAGATATGCAATGCATACATACAGTCCATTTTCGTGGAGCCTTCTGCATTAAGCAATAAAGGCTGGATTCAAAGAAAGAGGCTATTTCCTATTTGGTGTCTTCCTACATCGCAGATGACAAATTTATTCTTGAATATGATCTGATTTCAGCACTGTGGATGGCCAATCCTGAGCTGCATTTGGAACACCAGCATGAGCTGCCCTTAACAAGTTAAAGTCAACAGGATTCCATGAGCTTCTCAGATGCACTAGCCAGAGGGGATGTAGAAAGTCAGCACGCAGCTAAAAAGACGGCCAGTCCCACGCAGCTGAAAAGACGGCCAGTCCCTTGCCACTCTTCGGGGCACCTAGAAAGCCCATCTAATGAGCAGAAGCAGAAAACAGCACTTACCAGTTGTTCCTCCTCCAGGCTGGGAATCAGCTGAAATGATTCCAGGATATCTCAGGCATCGGAAATCTAACCCATACCGGTAATGATAATACTACGAAAAAGACAAAAACTATTTTAAAACAAATCCTTTAATCAGATAGAGCAATGCAATGACAAAACAGCTCTTTGGGGCCTTAGGGATGGGATGGGAGAACGTGTGGAGTATCTTTCCATGCAGTTCTATTAAAATGCTGCTAAAGGAAATGAGACTGTAGAATTTCTAAGAGCCACTCACTTTCTTTAATAAATAACCCTTAAATTTTTATCTTCAAAAAAAATTGTCACTCTGGTGACATTTCAACACAGTCAATAATCAGCCTCCACTGATTTCCAACCTTCCTCTCGAAGAGTCACTGCTGCGGTTCGGAACAGCCCTCTGGGAGCATGTTCCCACAGTGCGGCATTGGACAGTGCGCAGAGGACTTTGAGAGAGGAGGGCAAGGCCAGCTATGTCGGCTAAGGGAGCAGACACCAGCTCACATTTGCTGTGGAGTTATAAAGACGAAGAGTATTTAAAAAAATAAAACCAGGGCAGCCCGGGTGGCTCAGCGGTTTAGCGCCTGCCTTTGGCCCAGGGCGTGATCCTGAAGACCCGGGATCGAGTCTCACTTCAGGCTCCCTGCATGGAGCCTGCTTCTCCCTCTGTCTGTGTCTCTGCCTCTCTCTCTCTCTCTGTGTCTCTCATGAATAAATATAAATAAATAAATAAATAAATAAATAAATAAACCAACCAACCAACCAAAAGTCATTTGACGTTCTCCGTAACACAAAGTTTTAAAATCACCTCCCCTAACTGCCAATCCTGGGAGCCAGAAAGAATGGAGCAGTACACATTTACAGGCAGCAAATGAGGAAGGGGGTGCCATCGTGGGGCCTCTGGGAAGCACGGAATGTTATCACATGACCAAAGGCTAAGGAGTCCTTCTGGAGCTATCAGTACCCTGCCACTTGGCAAAAACAGGACTCGGTAGGAGCAGTTCTGGGGGCTGGGCCAGATCCCCCCAAGGACGAATCAGCAAGCATATGAGGCAAAAAGAATAGAAAAGGCAATGCTGAGTCATCTTGCCAAGCAACGCTTACTTCTCCCATGAGCTCCGCGTGGACTTTGGACACCCCATAGATAGTCCTGGGCCTCTGAACACAGAGATCAGGAGTTGGATTCCGGGGAGAAGTAGGTCCGAAAGCTCCGATCGTGCTAGGCACAAACAACCGCAGATTGTGCTCTGCTGCGACGTCCAGGACGTTATGCAATCCTGAAACGAATAGAGACACTGTCTGAAAAAAATCTCTTACCAAAGAACTGAAAAAAAGCCTGGCAAACCAACCATTTGGGGCAAGACCCAGAAACTTACCGGTGATATTTACGGCTCTGGCCAAGGATACGTTTGCTTCCCCAACGGCACTGAGCAAAGCGCTATAATGAAACAACCAGGTGATGCGGTTGTTTACCACGATCTCCCGAAGATTCTTGTAATCCAGAATGTCGGAATAAATAAATGGGCCTACCAGGAACACAGCAAAACCATAGAAGTGCGAGTTTGGGATTTAAAAAGCTAAGTGGCCCTTCACCCCCTCCCCTGTTGACTCGTGAATTCCACTAGGATCCGCTTGGTGACTAAAGCACTTGGACACTCTGCAGCATTTTGCTTATGGAAGAAAAAACCCCAACCACCCCCAGGTAATAATAGCTAGGGCTTACACAGGACTTACACTTGCCAGGCACTGTCCTAAGGGCTTTCTGTATATTTAGCTCTCATACAATCTTTGAGGGAGATATATTTTTACTGGGAAGGAAACGAAGGCACAGAGAAATAAGCAGTAGCCAGGGTCAAATAGAGAATAAGTGGAAGAACTGGGCTCCCAACCAGCCAGCTGGCTCCAGAGTTGATGCGGTTAATAACCACCCCTACATTTCACTCTGATGAAAAGTTACATATTTTAAAAAGGATATAGAAGTGGATTTATTTATTTATTTATTTATTTATTTTTTTATTAATTTTTATTTATTTATGATAGTCACAGAGAGAGAGAGAGAGAGAGAGGCAGAGACACAGGCAGAGGGAGAAGCAGGCTCCATGCACCGGGAGCCCGACGTGGGATTCGATCCCGGGTCCCCAGGATCACGCCCTGGGCCAAAGGCAGGCGCCAAACCGCTGCGCCACCCAGGGATCCCAGAAGTGGATTTTTTTTAAAGATTTTATTTGTTCATGAGAGATACAGAGAGAAAGGCAGAGACATAGGCAGGCTCCTCGAGGGGAGCCAATATGTGGGACTCAATCCCGGTACTCTGGGACCATGCCCTCAGCTGAAGGCAGAGGCCCAACCACTGAGCCACCCAGGCACCCCTAGAGGTGGATTTTTAAAAGAACTTGGTATAGGTATAGAAGGACTGCAAGCCTGAGCTAGGCAGAGCAGGTTTTGTTCAGTGGCACCCACTTAACAGCAAAGTACCAGTAAGCTGAAGGCTGACATGGAACCAGGAAGGACCAGGAGACTTTCCAAAAATGTTTGTAAGGTAGGAGGAAACTTGAGGAGTCTGAAGTGTTTGTGTGTGTGCACAGCAGTTTAAGAGGAAGTCTATGCTGGGGCGCCCAGTGGCTTAGTCGGTTCAGCACTGGACTCTTGATTTCACCTCAGGTCATGATCTTGGGGTCGTGCGATTGAGTCCTGTGTCAGGCTCTGTGCTCAACATGCAAAGCCTACTTGGGATTCTCACTCTCTCCCTCTAAAATAGTAAATTAAAAAAAAAGATTTTATTTATTTATTCCTGAGAGACACAGGGAGAGAGGGAGAGACCTAGGCAGAGGGAGAAGCAGGCTCCCTGCGGGGAGCCCAATGTGGGTCTCGATCCCAGGACCCTGGGATCATGCCCTGAGATGAAGGCAGACACTCAACCACTGAGTCACCCAGGTGCCCCTTTTTAAAGAGTAAGTCTGTGTTGAAATAGGAGGATTAATTGCTCCAAATTTTTAAAGTTTCTTTTCTTCATTACAGAACTTGATTTTGGTGTTCCCTCTGAGCAGAGAAGTTAACTAAAAACTCAAAAAGTTGGGAATCAAAGTTTTTATTCAGAAAATACTATTCCAAATAAGATCCAAAGATGTCATTCCCAACTTTACTTCGAGTTCAGAAGAGCTCTCCTGTTCTTATAACACCTGAACAAGCAGCAGCATTACTGTAGACATTTCACAGAACTATAAGGGACCAAAATAGATTTTTTTTTTTTTTTGAAGAGAGAGAGTGGGAGAGCAGGGGGGGAGGGAGGGGGAAGAGATAGGGGGAGGAGGGGAAGGGGAGAGAGAGAGAGAGAGAGAGAGAGAGAGAGAGAGAGAGAGAGAGAAGAGAGAGAGAATCCCAAGCAGGCTCCACACTCAGCATGGAGCCAGACCCAGGGCTCGATCTCATAACCCTGAGATCATGACCTGAGGCAAAATCAGAAATCAGACACTTAAAACGACTGAGCTACCCAGGTGCCCCAAAACAGGCAATTTTTAAAAGTCACACAACTGAGCCTTAATAACACCTTTCTTTTCATCACAAGCCTGGTTATGAGCTGATCCCATGAGCCACCTCTCTAACTGCATTTTGAAAATCAAAGATAAAGGCAAGGCGTCTTGATCTCTTACCACTGTGGAAGATGTGGTCGGGGGGTTTCCTTATGTCAGACAAAATCACACTGTCCTTCCCAAATCGTTTCCTGAAGGGAAAAATCAAGACCTGTGAGTTGTACATCTAGGATATACCTGGTCCAGTGAAAACACTGTCTCAAATAGGGCAAAGGCCCAGCGTGGGAGCTGATGAGCCACGGATCTGCTACAAGTCTATGATACTAAAAGCAAAATAAAATGATTAAATATTGCCAAAGAAAAATATATATACCGAAGAACTCAGATTTTCAATTTCAGCTTTTTGGGCTCTTACCTCAGAAAGTTAGCAAGCCCCACTCCAAGCTGGCCAAGACCCCCTAGATGAAGAAGAAAAAAAGTGGAACTTTAATCCAAATCTAACCAATTCAGTTATTTCCAGAATGTAGTAGCAGAATAAGACTATATGACAATCTCAGCTAATTAGGGAAAGCCCCAGTCTGACTTGGTGGGGCTAAATTATATCTTCCAAGCTAGGACTGAGATCAATGTAGGTGATATTAGTTGTAGATAAAACTCTTTCCATGGAGTGACTGATGGCAAGCAAGGGTGCAGGAAGAGGACAATCACAAGAAAGTCGAACCTCCTAGCTCCTTAGGCCAGCAATCCCCTCTCAGACCTGCCCTTATTATTTGAAGCTTGAGTGCAACAGGTGCCAAAACACTCAAAGCCAAATATAACAGTCTGAGATCAGCCTTCGGTGGGGTTACCCAGAAGCCCATCCCCCATTAGAACTGGGCTGGGGTAGGGGAGGGGAAAGAGGAGACAAAGCAGGAAGCCATCTGTTAAAAGGGTAGACAACTGAGTCGACAAGGAGCCCTAAAGAAAGCTAAAAATGACTATTAGAGGGACAACCTGGCTCAGCGGTTGACCATCTGCCTTTGGCTCAGGGCATAATTCCAGTTCTGGAATCAAGTCCCACGTTGGGCTCCCTGCAGGGAGCTTGCTTCTCCCTCTGCCTAGGCCTCTGCCTCTTTCCCTGTGTCTCTCATGAATAAATAAAATCTTTTAAAAAAATGACTATTAAGCTTCCTAATTTAGAGGCTCAAAAATGCCACCAATAGGAATGGGCATGCTGTGGGCTGGGAGTATAGCTGGAGGCGGCAACCACAAATTTCATCTGGGAGAAATAAATGAGGTAGGGTGATACAGAATGTGGGATTTCCTGTAAGCACTTGTTGCCATGGGACTGGAACCAGGAAGGATGGTGTATAGGGGAAATGACTATACCTTAAGTCCATTTCCAGAGAAGACCAGAAAGAGGTAGTGAAGATACACACACACACACACACACACACACACACACACACACACACAGTGAGGAATGTCAGAAGCCAGTGAAAGACAATCTGGTGGGAAGAAGGAAATAAAGTGTGTCCATCAAGTCAGAGGTAGGGTTGGTTTGGCTGGAAGGTGTGGAGTGCCAGGGAAGGCCCGGGGCAAGGAGGGCAGGGCAGCAGGGGCTGGGTGGACACAACGTAAGGGCCACAAGGAGCAACTCTGGCGGCGACGTGATCAACGACATTGTAAGATAATGGGGACAGGTTCCTTGGATGTGCAACAACTGCTGGGAATCGAGGACATCGAATTTAGGTTGAGGAGTTTGGCCAAGACAAGACGCACCTGATGCGCTGCCCACTCCCTATACAGGAGCGCCCTCACCCCCGGGCCACCCCAGCTCCACAGCAGCTTCTGCTCCCGGTTTCCTGCAGCCGACCTTCAGAGAATACACAGAATTACGACATGGACACAAAGCACTAGCAACGGTGGCACAGCGAGAATTTCAGGCTTGCGGGATCCTGGAGGAAGCCAACAGTGGAAAAGGCTGTTTCTGATGAATACATGTTGACTGGTGGCATGGGAGCTGTTCCAAACACAAAGCCGTGCAGAAACAGCACAAGAAAAAAAAAGAAGAAAGAGGATCAATTTGCAAATCCTGAAAAAAAGGAAAAAAAAACCAACCTGTAATTAAGACGCGTGGCTGGTCTGTTCCAGAGAATGAGGCAGAGTGGAAGCTGGCATCTGCTGGAATCTGCCGAGGGGAGGTGCCCAGAAACCGCAGCGGCGGGGCAGGCATCCAACAGCCACAGGCTGGGCTCCCCAGCATCTGGCCGGCGACCTGCCGCAGCATCCTAGCGAGCGGCATTTCTCTACAAACACCCTGCAGGAAAAGGGGAGCAGGGTTCATTATGCCACCTTTTATTCTCCCAACCTCTCCAAACGCAAGCTAAGATTGTCAGCTCATGGGCAAAAAGCAAGCTGGACTCATGAACCGAACTAAAGAGGCTGCTGAGTGGGCCGACAGGAAGCCGGTCAAGAGCCTACGGTGAGCTGGGCTCTGAAAAGGGGATCAAACACTGCAGGCAGACAAAAGCCGGGCAGAGATTTAGAATTGAAACCGCATAATGCTGACATCAACTGCATCTAATGGTCACGGTGGAGGGGACCCCACATAGAGCCAGAAATGCCAGATACACCAAGTCAGTGGATCCTAGCGAGGTCTTTACCACCGTAAGCAATTTGTTCACACACCATGGGAAGGCACATATGGGTCCCAGATTAAATAACCTCATGCCCTACAAATCTTGTGCTAACGCCTAGATGTTCTCTTTAGAATGAATGCAACTAGAAAAGCAGGTGGTTAAGACAGAAAGACCCTCAGTGATACTCAATAAGCTGTGACTACTTTTTTTTTTTTTTTTTTTTTTTTTTTTTTTTTTTTTACTGCCCTCTTAGGACTATTTGGAAGAGCCATCTTCTTTCCTTCCAGATCATGTACATTTTAGTCTTTCTCCTCTTTCTCACCAGTTTTATTGCTTCTGGACCATGAATCCATTTTGGCCTTCAGAGGTCAAGATGGTCTGATCATATAAGGCTTGAGACTAGAGGCACATGCAGGGCTTTCATTTTGCTGATTCCATCCCTCACACCCAGGCAAGCATGTCACAAGAGTAAATCAGAGCCACATAGCCTGCTCTGCTGGTTCCCACCCTCTAAAGTCAGGCCTGTTGCACTCTGCACATGGCCCCATGGCTTCCATGGTAAGATTTCCAAGAGCTGGGAGATGAGGCTTCAGAGCCGACTCTGGTGACCTACCCCCTTCCAAGGAGCTCACCAGATCTAACCATCTTATATTTGTCAACTACATTTGAAGACTGTTTAAAATCTGAACTTAGCCTGCTCCCACACTCAACTCAGGGTCTTAAGAAAACAGTAATACACAGCCCTTGAGAGTCCCTGGGGCTCTTTGTCCCAGCTAATTTTGCCAAACAAGTAGAAGAGAGGCTTCTGCTACAACATTTCTGGCTGCTGGGGTGGGGGGGTGGGTAGTCGGGACTATGCAAGAGGTCCCCACTGTGGGCCACGTTATAGGAAAGGCCCAAATATCCCTTGGAAGACCTTTGGGTTAATCATCCTTACAGCCATTGTGGTCATCTGAAACCAGGTAAGAACTCTTGATTCTTTTTTGGGAGGTGGGGGGAGCAGGAGGTGGTAAACTGTAATTTTCTTATTGGAAAACAAATGTATAACTCAGAATGGACTTGAGGCAAACTGTGCCATAAACAGATTTTCTTTAAGGGGCTAAACAGAGTTTAAAAAGCAAGTAACAATAAAAGAAAATGTTTCTAGTAAAGGACCAGCAGTACAAAAAGATACTGTACGAGTACATGGATAACACACCCGTTTTGCAATAGTGCAGCTCTGAAGTACATGTTGCTGACTGTCCATACTCTATGTATAGAGTTATGGCTCCTCGCTTTTACAACATGCTGACACTTCCTAATGAAAACCACTCCAAAAAAAAAAAAAAAAAAAAAAAGAGCATAACCCAGATCTTCCCTCATTTGACCAATTCCATTTAGGATGAAGTGTGCAGAAGGGCTTAGATTTATCCAGAGGAAGCCATGTGCAACATGTGACTGGATCAGTTGGCTCAAATAAGGTTTCAGGACAATGACAGTAGGATAAGGGAAGAAAACAGAGGAATGAAATCCTAATCACTATACATGCATATTTTTGGACAGCAGAGGGAAACCTTTTATAGAGAAGTTACAAAGAAGAGGCAAATAAAGAATTTGGTACAAGAAATTGAACCCATTCTATACAATGTCCACATAGTGCTGTCATCATGTATACAGTCTTCACAGTCCATGTGCCCATCACCATGATTATCTGCTTCCCTGTCCATTTTGTCAACCTCAGCATCTGCTCGCTTCTCTCTCAGGTTTGTCTTCACACGGTGAAGCCCAACACTCATATAGTCACTGCCATCCTTATCAAACACATGGAATGCTCTCCAATTTCTTCCTCACTGTTTCATTCATTTTTCTTGCCAGCATTGTCAGAAATTCTGGGGCTCTGTTGAACCATGACCATCAGCATTCACTTCATTGATCGGGTCTTATAACTGTGCTTCTGGGAGGTTCTGCCCAGAGAGACCTCGTTATAGTTCCCAACACTGGTTGGGTTTTTTGTTTGTTTGTTGTTAAGAGTTGGGGGGGGGGAGCAGAGGGAGAGGGAGAAAGAGAATCCCAAGCAGGCTCCACAATCAGAGCCCAATGTGGGGCTCAATTCCACGACCCTGAGATCATGACCTGAGCTGAAATCAAGAGTCTGACACTCAACCGACTGAGCCACCCAGGCACCCTGAGGCTCACATTTTTTTTTTTTTTGAGGCTCACATTCTTAACTGAAAATAAAGCATTTTAGGTTAGCCATGTGAACAATTTGTAATTGAGTTGGTCCTTCTTATTTCACTTTGATTAATAGCTAACATTTTGATGCTCGCTATCTCACTATATGCCCAGGTCAGTGAGAGATGCAGCTCTTAACCACCAAGCAGCACTACTGTCCCCATCATACAACTGCTTTAACAATGCATGAACCTTTAAAACAAAAACTGCCAACCATCTACAGCAAATAGCTTTTCCAAGTCAAGATTATCACCCTGCTCTCACCAAGTTCAACTGAATAGTGTTAAGGCAACAGTTTTTTTTTTTTTTTTTTTTTTAAGGCAGCAGTTCTCAAGTTTTTTGGTCTGTGGGCTTTATATTCTTAAATATTGAGGACTCTGAAGAGCTTCTGTTCATGTGGTTTACATCAAACAATTCTTGTTGTGTTAGAAAGCAAAACAGATGAATGTTTAATATAATAACTCATTTAAAGCCAATAAAAATTTTTATGAAATAATTATATTTAAAAAAATAGCAAAAAGAGTGCCATTTGTTTGTACATCTTTGTTGTCTGCCTTAATGGAAAACAGCTGGATTCTCATCTGCTTGCACCCAATCTGTTACTTAAATTGAAGTATATAGAAAAAAAAAATCCAGACTCACAAAGTGAAATACTGGGAAAAGGGAGCAGTATTGTAAAAGCCTTTTCAGAAAATTCTGGATACTCATCTTTGCAAACCAAAACTTGACACATGGACACGTGGTAGTTTTGTAAAGGTCAGTTGCAATGTAGAATCTGAAGCCATTATCAGTGAACTTTTTGGATTATGTATCTTAAAAGCCACTGGTCTACCTAGTGCTTGGAGCAGATCTTTACCCCTGAAGAATTTTGTAATTTTGTGCACTGGTCTTTTGGAAAATATTGGTTCAGCAAATTACGCAGAACTTCCCAGTGTTAACACACTTCACTATAGAATATCAAAAGGTCATAGTGATTTCATCAGAAAGTTTCTAAATACTGAGAAGCTATCAAGCTCACAGTGGTAGATACAAGTTAACAGGCAACAAATGCCATTAGTTGTTTCCTCAAAGGGACAAGCTCACTTGGTTCATTTTTTAAAAACTACATCCGGGACACCTGGGTGGCTCAGCGGTTGAGCGTCTGCCTTTGGCTCAGGGCATGATCACAGGGTCCTGGGATCAAGTCCCATATCGGGCTCCCCACAGGAGCTTGGTTCTCCCTCTGCCTAGGTCTCTGCCCCTCCCTCTCTCTCATGAATACATAAATAAAATCTTAAAAAAATAATAAAACAAAAAACTGTATCCAAGCATGAATAACTCTAGTTTTTCGGTCATTCCTTGAGGCAAAAATGATTTTCTATAAGGAAAAAAAAGTGGCCATTTCTGCCTACAATTCAATCATACTAAAGTGCTTTACTTCAAGATAGCCATCACACCTTAACACAAACAAGTGCATCCCCTCAGCACAAGCCATACTGAAAAGATAAGTTTTGAGCCTGGGTGGATCAGTCGGTTGAGCATCTGCCTTGGGCTCAAGTCATGATTCCAGGGTCCTGGGATCGAGCCAGTATGGGGCTCCCTATTCAGCGAGGAACCTGCTTCTCTCTTCCCTCCGCCCCTCCCCCTGGCTTGTGTGCTCTCTCAAATAAAATGTTTAATAAATAAATAGATACATTTTATTAAATATTGACCCTTGAAGACCTAACAATTTTACTGTCATAGAAAAGGCATTCCTAAGTAAAACTGGCAGATTTTCTTTTCTTTTTTAGAAAGCACATGAAGACCATCTACTAGTACTTTGATGCCACTGCCTTGATTCCTGCAAAGACACCTGTGGTTTTAGCCAGCATTGCTTTGGCCCCATCAGTGCAAATTCAGTCTAGTTGTCCCAAAATAAACCATGAAATTCAAATAAGTTATTCTACACCGAATACCTTGGCACTACTTGTGTTTGCTGCTAAGTGTTCGCCAGAAAGATACTCCCTGATGACTGGTTTGGTGCTGGTACCAGATGAATACAAACAAAATGACAAATCCAGCCATGACTGCAAATTCTTCCTTTTTTTTTTTTAAAAAAAAAAAAAGACTTTATTTATTCATGAGAGACAGAGAGAGAGAGAGAGAGAGAGGCAGAGACACAGGCAGAGGGAGAAGCAGGCTCCATGCAGGGAGCCCGATGTGGGACTCGATTCTGGGACCCCAGGATCACAAGCTGGGCCAAAGGCAGGCGCTACACTGCTGAGTCACCCAGAGATCCCAAATTCTTCCATTTGTAAGACAAAATACATTTCTGTTAAGATCCTAACTCAGTCTTCATGTTTGCAGCTAAATTTTTAATTTGACAAGTTTCTATATTATTACAAAGTGACAGTGCTGATTTCTTTCAATGCTTTTTTTTATCCAAACAAGGCTTTATTGTGTTTCTCCCCACTGCAATCTTATAACCTATCCTGCTAGATGCTTTAATAGCTTTTTCATTTTTAGTTTGGAAAGCTATAACAAATCATTTTTGGCTTTTCAAGAGCTCATCATAACTACATTTAGGTCACTCAATTCATTTTTCTTCAGAGGATTCGGAATAGTTGATCTCAGAGTTAACAGCACTGACACCATAATATGATTCAAAAGGGTTCTGCAGCATATAAGACACATAATGTAAATTTCTAACAACTGTAAAATGGTCAAAATTGATCACATTTTTAGGTCTTATTTAGTTCTGTATACTGCTCTGGAGTAAATTCCTCCTTTCCTTTATTCAAGGAACTCTGATAGATCATTTCATTTTTTTTTCCCAGCATTTATAGACATGGATGATACAGCTCTGAGTAGAAAAATGTTTTCTTAGCATCCCCCTGTTTAGCCAACAATCCTTAAAAAATACATAAGTATCCTTTCATTTTAGAATACTTTCATATCATTTAAAAATTTAGAAAAGTTTTCAAATCAAGACTATGAAGCATACTTACTTTTTGTTATTTTTCTTTCCATATAGGCACACGGAAAACCTAGGGATTTCAAAGTGATGACTTATTAAAGGAAATGAGGTCGCAGAAGTGATAATGGGTATAACTGAAGGTAGCTAGTAAGCATGCAGTAGAAGTACTAAGAACTGAATTCACCTCTGAAAACACTTATTTATACTCCAAGCCTACTTACTCTTAGAAGGTTCTAGAAACACAAGAGTCTGGAATACACGCAAACACACTTCATTAATCAGAGGAAAAGCTCATCCCAAGTCAGTGTACACTGGAAAATGCTACTCTATGCTTTTAAGAGAAAGGATGTAAAAGGCAAATGACGTCTTAGTCTTCTTTTTAGAATAGCTGGACCTCACAGACCCTACAAAATATCTCAGGGAAGCCCAGGATTCCCCAGATCATACTTTGAGAAGAGCTGTTCTACAGTAAAATTTGCTCTACCAATCTAGTTATTAAATTTATATAGAGAGAATCCATCACAATCTCAGTCCCTCTTTAAAGATTAGATTATAGTCCACAGACTTTCTCTTTCAAGCACCTTGTTTATTTAACCTGCAAAGGGACAAAAAAGAAACAGGTCAACAGACTCTTCTCCAGAAAGAATGGAGTGCCTCCCCAGCCCAGGCCTTTAGGGGTGGTTGTTATACCATTTCCCCCAACTCTTGGCGTGCGCCCTCTGGGCAGGAACCACAGAACTCTAAGACAGCAGTGACCTCATGAAGAGGGTCGGACTGATGGAGATAGAGACTCAGAGCTCAGGCTGCTTTGGTCATGTATGGATATGGGGGGGGGGCGCTGGTTAAGGAATCAAGGAGAAGAATACTAAAGTCTCTAATTTGTGCTGCTGTAAGAATGGGCTCCCTAGAGAAGCAGGTGAGGTGAGAAGGCATTGAGTTTGGTTTTGTATACATTGGTCTTAGATGCCAAGAGACAACATGGCAGTCTCGCTCACAAAGTTGTGAGCTCTTAGGAGCAATTCTAGCAATACCTGATGCAGGTCAGTACTCACCAAATCCTAGCTCTAATCATTCATAGCTATAGAGACAGTAAATAAGAACATATTAAGTAATATCTCTGGCACTAAAGCATGAAGGTAAAAGTATCCAGCCACTGACAAATGGATGGATGCACAAAATGTGGTATATACACACAACAGTATATTGTTCAGCCTTGAAAAAGGAGATCTTGCCACATGCTAAAACATGCATAAACCGCCAGAACACTATGCAAAGTGAAATAAGCCAGTTACAAAAGGCCAATTACCAAACCACCCCACTCTTACGACTTATACCAGGTATCTAAAGCAATGAAAATCACAGAAAAAGGAAGTAGAAAGGTAGTTACTAAGGGTATGGGATTAGGGGGAAAGAATATCGGTGTTTAATTTCTTGGCATATAGTTATCAGTAAGATGAGAACGTTCTACAGATCTGTTGCACAGTAACGTAAACTTAACACTGCTAAAGTATACACGTAAAAATAGTTAACATGGTAAATTTAAATTATGTGACTGCAACCCCAATTTAAAATATTTAAATTCACTTAAGAAACAAACAAATGGTCTACACACACCTATATTGCTGAAGAGCTACAAAATTTACCCAATAGAGATAAGTGCTGCCTCCAGAAACCTAACAGTTCAGTTGGTGCCTACCAAACCCCAGTCTCATTCAAACTCCCAAGCCCTGGAGCACCCGAGTGGCTCAGTGGTTGACCAGCTGCCTTTGCCTCAGCTCCTGATCCTAGGTCCTGGGACCCAGTCCCACATCAGGCTCTGCTGGGGGGTGGGGACTACTTCTCCCTCTTCCTCTCCCTGTATCTCTCATAAATAAAATCTTAAAAAAAAAAAAAATCTCTCAAGATCTTGTCCCACTTAACTCCCCAATGTGTTTTTCTCCCTCTGCTTATAAACCTGCTAAAACCTATCTTGTCCTCCTGCTGTCTTTGTTTCCTCTCCCAGTCCCAGGGGTGTTGGGTTGCTCCCAACCTCCATTCCCTACCCCTCCTAGTGGGGCTTCCTACCCTGCCCTCTGGGACACTGCTTTCACTAAAGAGGTGCCATGTGCCTGGTTGACGACTTCCAGGCTCTAAATTTTCCAGCACCAGGAAGCTACTAACCACGCCCCCCCACTCCGCCCCCCCCCCCCCAAGACCTCAGGTTCTCCTACCTCTTTGCTGTAAAGACCCATAATGCTTAAATAACACATTTGCAAGGCGGTCTCTCCTTTTATTTTAAGATTTTTAAAAAATTTATTTATTCATGAGACACACAGAATGGGAGAGAAAGAGAGGCAGAGACACAGGCAGAGGGAGAAGCAGGCTCCATGCAGGGAGCCCGACTTGGTACTCGATCCCGGGACTCCAGGATCACGCCCTGAGCTGAAGGCAGCACTAAACCGCTGAGCCAGGCGGGTTGCCCCAGTCTCCCCTTTAAATCGTCCTGTTCCTTAAATAAGAAATGTGTACTCTTCATAGAACTGACCCAAGGAAAAAAATCAGGCCCCTGACTACAGCAGCACAGATGAAAGGGCTGCTTTCCTGAACTCTTACTTAACCCCCACCTACCCCTGAAGCTGGGATCTTTTCTCCATTTCGCAGGATGAACTGACCTGCCCGAGGTCAGGCAAACACACCACCAAGAGGGGGTGCGAAACCGGATTCGTGGAGTCTCAAACAAACCCTCCTTCCAGGGTGTTATGCTGAGTGAAGTAAGCCAACCGGAGGACAATCATCATATGGTTTCACTCATACGGGGAATATAAAAAATAGTGAAAGGGAATAGAGGGGAAAGGAGAGAAAACGAGTAGGAAATTGATATCAGAGACGGAGACAAACCATGAGAGACTCCTAACTCTGGGAAACGAACAAGGGATAGTGGAAGGGGAGGGGGGCGGGGGGGGGTTGGGGTGACTGGGTGACGGGCACTGAGGGGGCGCTCGACGGGATGAGCACTGGGTGTTATGCTATGTTGGCAAATCGAACTCCAATCAAAAATATACCAAAAAAAAAAAAAAACAAACAAAACCCTCCTTCCACCACCCTCACACTTCTCCCTCAAGAGGAGGGATGCGGGATCCCTGGGTGGCTCGGTGGTTTAGCGCCTGCCATCGGCCCTGGGCGTGATCCTGAGGTCCCGGGATCGGGTCGGGTCCCGTCCCGTGTCCCGTCCCGTGTCGGACTCCCTGCAGGGAGCCTGCTTCTCCCTCTGCCTGTGTTTCTTTTTCTTTTTTTTTTTTAAGATTTATTTATTTATTTATGAGAGAGAGAGAGAGAGAGAGAGAGAGAGAGAGAGAGGCAGAGACACAGGCAGAGGAAGGAGCAGGCTCCATGCCGGGAGCCCGACGTGGGACTCGATCCCGGGTCTCCAGGATCACACCCTGGGCCAAAGGCAGGCGCCAGACCGCTGCGCCACCCCGGGATCCCCTCTGCCTGTGTTTCTGCCTCTCTCTGTCTCTCATGAATAAATAAATAAATCCTTAAAAAAAAAAAAAAAAGAGGAGGGATGCGACCAGGCACCCAGGAAGAAGACAAAGAGGACTCATCTGCGTGGGCGCGCGGAGGGGGGCACCCACCAGCCCAGGGCTCGGGGCACCGCCACGGAGCCTCCGTACCCGCCTTTGCCAAACCTCAGGTTCCCTCAAGCTTAGAAACAGGACGAGGATACCCCCCCCCCGCCGCCTGCTGAGAGCGTTTAACAGAGCGAACCACGAAGAGCACTTAGCAAACTGCCCAACGTAAAGACTCCACGAGCAGGTCAAGTCCGGACTTACCTTGGCGATGATCCGAAAGCCAGGGAAAAAGAAAAAGCCCAGAAAAACAAAACACAAACCCAGAGCTCTAAGCTTGAGGTACAGAGGGTCTTGGAGGAGGCCTGGCTCTGCGGGACGCGAGGAGGGAACCCAAGGGACGCGGGGCTGAGCCGCACACGGGTCCCCGGGCCTGGCCCTCGGGGGAGGGGGTGTGGGGTCGCATCCTTCCCGGGAAGCGGCCGGAGAACCGTGGCGCCCACCCTTATTCCTGGGCAGAGGGGGGTCCTCGCAAGGTGGAAGGGGACATGTGTCGACCCCAGCAGCGCCCCGACCTCTCCGCCCCCCCGCGACCCCGGTGTCGGCTGGAATCGCGGGGTCACACTGGGGGCCCCGCGACCTCGGCCTACGCGCCTAGCGGGGATCCGTCCCGGGCACAGCCCCGGGGGGCACGTCCGGCCACCCCCGCACTGACCTTCCCGCAGGGCCGCCCCAGATGCTGCGCCGCGGGAACCCGAGCTGCGGCCGCGGGCGGAGAGCGCAGCAGCCCGGTGCGCCGCGCCTTTATTCCCTCCTCCCCTGAACCCGCCCCTCCGCGCACCAATCCCCTTCCTCGGCGGGGGCCCCGGGTCACGAGGGGGCCGGGGTGCGGGACCGGTCGGGCGAGGGAGCCCCCCCCCCCCGTGCGCAGCGTCGCCCGCGGCGGCAGGTCCGGGCTGCGCGTCCTGGCCTGGGCCCCTCCGCAGGGTCAGGGTGCGCGCAGCTCTGCCAGGGCCTCCCCGTCCGCGGGCATCGGCCCCTCCGTACCACCCCACCCCCACCCCCACCCCCGCACCGCGGGAACCGGCTCGGGCAGGCGTGCAGCACCTCTGCCGGGGACCTGGGGAGCAGGGCGGGACCCGCCGAGGGCGCAGCGCAGGACCCCGAGCCAGGAGATCGAATCCTTGAGCGAATCCTGTCCTCTTGGTTTCCCACGTGGGAAGCATCAGTGTCAAATTAGATCACCCCCCAAGGGCACGGAGCGGCCCAGTGAGCATCATCTGGGTCATCTGGGAACTTGTTAGACCTGAAGGTCTCCGGCGGCGTCCCGGGCCTGCAGAGTCAGGCTCCTCCCGGGCGGGGCCCCGCGAGCTGCGCTCGACCCGCCCCTCCAGGTGATGCTGCGCGCGCTCTAGCGGGGGCCGCGCTGGTCGCGGTTCTCGGGCTTCGCCGCCTTTTGCGATCACCGGGGACTTTTTGAACCTCCCAATGCCCAGGCTGCGTTCAGGACTGAGCGAATCAGAATCTCCTTTGGGGGTTTTGGAGGGGGGAGGAGCCCAGGCTTAAGTTGTTTTGTTAAAGCCCCTCAAGTGTCCAAGGTGAGAGCCACCGATCAACCCGTGCTTAAGGGCTTGGTTCAAAGCAGCCCCCACTCCATCTACTGAATCACAGCACTTTTAAAGATCCCCAAGCAATTGTCAAGCACGTCAGGAGTTTGGAAGACTCTAAGGAAAGCCACCTCCAACATTAAAATCTATGATGTGGGACGCCTGAGTGGCTCAGCGGTTGAGCGTCTGCCTTTGGCTCAAGCCCTGATCCCAGGGTCCTAGGATCGAGCCCCTCCCAACCCCCCAACCCCCCCCCCCCCCCGCGGCTCTCTGCGGGGAGCCTGCTTTTCCTTCAGCCTTTGTCTCCACCTCTCTTTCTGTGTCTCATGAATAAGCAAATAAAATCTTTCAAAAAAAATCTATGATGTTATGCAATATGTCTAATGTTCTGTTTTACAGGCTCTTAGAAGGCTCCGTTTCTTCAACATTTTCTTGTACGACAAGATTTTTTTTTTAAGATTTTAATTTTTTATTTGAGAGAGAGAGCACGTAAGAGAGCGGAGTGTCAGAGGGAGAAGCAAATTCCCCAACTGGGAAGGGAGCCTGATACAGGACTTTATCCTGGGACTCAATTCCAGGACTCCCGGGGATCAAGACCTGAGCTGAAGGCAGAGGCTCAACCAACTGAGCCACCCAGGGGCCCATCATACAACATGATTCTCATTATTGGTCTTTCTCTGGTGTACTTGAACTCTAAAATCTTAATTATAGGCTTTTTAGCCTCTCAGGAGGCCTTAGAGATTATAAAGGGCACCATACCCACTTTACAGTAGAAGGAGCAAAGCTCCTTCCAGAGAAGAAAAGACATTTGTTCAAGGACTAGGGACCAGAATGGTGACCCAGGCACTGGGTCACCCCTTTCTAATACACCACATCGTATCATGAGCAGTGATCTTTGTTGTTTTCCTCAAACCTTGTGATGGTGTCAGAGATCCTGAGCTTACTTTGAGTGCGGTTGCTGGTAGGGATGTTGCTGAGTGGGGCAACCCAACTGCCATTGCTGCTGGTCTGGATGGGGGGGGGGTTTGGAGAGGGAGAGACATGGCTTAAATCTTTGTTTCTGAGGCACATGAAGAAGGGCTAATCTACAAGGAATTGAAAGGTGAGTGGTTTCTGGCTACCTGCCATCTATTTCCTGTCTTTCTCAGGGAAACAATCTGGTATTAATATCATCAGCCCCTTTCCTCTTCCAGCCAAGGGACAGGCACTTCCACTGGATTTGAACCCTGTTGGGAGTGAGGGAGAGGCTGAAAACAGAAGGACTGGTCCCCACCAGCACAAGACCCCTCTGAGAAGATCAGTCCTGGCTGGCAGCCACTGCCATAGGCTTCCTGTCTCTTTCCAGGCTAGATCTCCAGGTTTGCCAAGTCTGTGTCTTCCTCCAATCCTTTGGATGAAGTCATCAAAATAGGTTTCGGTTACCCTAACTTAGATTCTGATAATATTCAGACTTTCCCTCCATTTTCAGGGTTGAGGTTTTGGCTTTCACATCACAAACCCAAATAATAAAAAATAATAAAAATATCCTCCAGTCTATACAGTCTGTATTGATATAAATAATGAATAGATAAATGAGATAGAAGGGGCAACTCTTTTTTTTTTAAAGATTTTATTTATTTATTCATGAGAGACACAGATTGAGAGAGAGGCATAGACACAGGCAGAGGGAGAAGCAGGCTCCATGCAGGGAGTCAGACGTGGGATTCAATCCCAGGTCTCCAGATCACACCCTGGGCTGATGGAGGCGCTAAACTGCTGAGCCACCCAGGCTGCCCAGAAGGGGCAACTCTTACAGAAGAATTCCAACTAGTAAATGTGGAAGAAATGAGGGACACGGACATTCCCCATAAGAAGACCACAGCAACAATTGCTGCAGGCAACATATTCTCCCTTCGTCTGCATTTTTTAATTTTTTTTTTTTAAAGATTTGAGAGGGGTGGGGCAGAAGGAGAGGGAGAAGCGGACTTCCCTATGAGCAGGATGCCTGATGTGCCACTTGTTTCCAAGGCAGATAATTGAGCCACGCAGGTACCTCCTCTGCATTTTGTTCTATTCAGTCCTTCTATGTATTAGATGATACCAGCTCCCACTGGGTAAGGCAATCTAGTAAATCCACTGATTCAAATGCTAATCTCATCTGGAAACATCCTCAAAGACACCCAGAGATATTATTTAAGAATAGCACTCCATAGCCCGGCCAAGTTGACAAAGAACATTAACCATCATTGTTTCCATAGTTTTGCCTTTTCCAGAATATCATATAGTTGAAATCATACAGTATGTAGCCTTTTCACATTGCTCTTTTATATAGTAATATGCATTTAAAGTTTCCCCTTTGTCTTTTCATAATTCTAAATAACATTCCTTTGCTTTTTAGCACTGAAAAATATTTCATTATCTGGATATACCATAATTTATTTAACTATTCATCTACTGAAGGACATCTTGGTTGCTTCCAAACTTTCTCAGTTATGAGTAAAACAATAGTAAACATTCATTTGCAGGTTTTATGTGAACATAAGTTTTTAACTCCTTTGGGTAAATGCCAAGGAGAATTGCTGATTTGTTTGGTAAGAGTATGTTTAGTTTTGTAAGAAATTCCCAAACTGTCTTCCAAAGTGGCTGGACCATTTTGCATTCCTATCATTTATCAATAAAGTCCAGTGAAAGTTACTACACACCTTCACCAGCATTTGGTGACGTGTTTTAGATATTCACTGTATAGTAGATGTGTAGTGGTATCTCCTTGTAGTTTTAATTTGCAAATTCCTATTGATATATGATTCTGAGCATCTTTTCATGTTTGCTTGGCATCTACTTTGGTGTGATATATGTACAGATCATTTGTTCATTATTAACCAGGTTGTCCATTTTCTTTTCTTTTTTTTTTTAAGGTTTTATTTATTCATAAGAGACAGAGAGAGAGGCAGAGACACAGGCAGAGAGAGAAGCAGGCTCCATGCAGGGATCCCGACGTGGGACTCCATCCCAGGTCTCCAGGATCACACCCCGGGCTGAAGGTGGTGCTCAACCCCTGAACCGCTCAGGCGTCCCCAGGTTGTTCATTTTCTTATTTTTGAGTTTTAAAAGTTTTTTAAAGTACTTTTTGAATAACAGTTCATTATCAGATATTGTCTTTTGCAAATAATTCCTCCCTCTCTATGGTTTGTCTTCTCATTCTCTTGAATGAGAATCCAATACATTCTATTCTTTTGCAGAATAGAAATTTTGTTTTAACAAAGTCCAGTTTACTGATTTGTTTCTTTCATGGATCATGTGTTTGGTATTGTAACTAAAAAGTAATCACCATATTTAGGGTCATCTAGGTTTTCTCCTATATTATATTCTAGGATTTTTATCATTTTGCAGCTTACATTTAGGTCTATAAATCGTTTTCAGTTAATTTTTATGAAAGGTGTATGTGTGTGTATATATGTATATTATATAAATATAAATATCCAGTTGTTTCAGCACTATTTATTGGAAAGACTCTTTATTGTGTTGCCTTTGTTCCTTTATCGAAGATCAGTTGCCTATATTTGCATAAGTCTATTTCTGGAGTCTCTATTCTGTTCCACTGACTTGCCTTTTTTTTCTCCAGTACTATACTGTCTTGATTACTGCAGCTTTATAGTAAGTCTTGAAGTTGGGTACATCAGTCTTCTGATTTGGGTGTTCTCCTTCAATACTATGTTGGCTATTCTGCTTCTTTGGCCTCTCCATATAAACTTTAGAATCATTTTGTCGATAACCACAAAATAACTTGATGGGATTTTCCTTGGGATTACATTGAATCTATAGATCATTTGGGGAAGAACTGATATCCTGACAATATTAATCTTTTTATTATTAACATTGGATCAGCTAGTTCTTTGATTTTTTGAAAAAAGATTTTATTTACTTATTCATGAGAGACACACCCAGAGAGAGAGAGAGAGAGAGAGAGAGAGGCAGAAAGACAGGTTCTACAGAAAGAACTCGATCCCAGGTTCCCAAGATTACACCCTGGGCCAAAGGCAGTGCTAAACCGCTGAGCCACCCAGGCTGCCCAGTTCTTTGATTTCTTCAGTCAGATCTTAGTTTTTCTCATAGACATCTTGTACATATTTTGTTAGATTTCTACTATTTTGTTTTTGGAAGTGCTAATGTAAATGGTATTATATTTTACATTTCATATTCCA